TGGGTTGAACTGAGAGTGATTGGGAATGTCCTCTGTGTAGGCATTCCGCTGTGTACCGAGTTGAGGGATAAGCTGCTGCGGAGCTTGTGGAAACACGAATTAAGGTAACCTCTTGGTACTGGGGCTTGTTCCCCTTTTCTGTTCCACCTTGCCAGTTGATGGTAACGGTAGGAAGTGTGTATGAATAGTATATAACACATGAGCATGCATGCATTATTGCTATGGGTACTTATGTACCGAGTCTCTGGCCAGTAGACAGTTTTTATTAGCCTTCGGGCATTTTCGGACTTCCGCTGGATAGGTCTCCAGGAGGGAGTTCCAGTTGACTGCGGTCATGGTGTGTGATCCGGGTAGGAGCACACTAGGAATGTCTTTGGCGTTTTGGTTGGTTTGGGCATCATGGTTGTGGTTTCTGTGAACACACCTTGGATGATACCCATAGGCTTATATATGCCGAGGGCGTACGTGGAATTGGGGTTACCATCCCGTATCGTCGTATTTTGTTTTCTTTATATTCCTCATTCTCTAAATCCCTTGCTATATCCCGTTTTCAAAGTGGTTGTTGTATTCTATTGATATGCATCGAAGTGAACCATTGGGTGGAGTTTTCTCCAGAACCTCTTGGTTACTGAGATATATTCGTATATCTCACCCCGTCTCGGGGCATTTATTTCAGGAGGTAGCAGTGGAGCAGGAGCCTCGGGCAAGAGGCCCGCAGAGTGAGCGATGGAGCGTTTCTTATTTTGCATTTTGTTGGCCGTGTGGCCTAGGCTAGACTTAGGGCATGAACATGTCATTTGTATTTATTAGTAGCTTCATTAGCATCTTGTTCATGCCATTTTGCCTAAGTCTAGTAGTGATGTATTTGGTTATGTTGTCTTTTAAATTAAGTTGAAATTTTAGAAGAATGTAATTTGAAGTTTTAGTTTCAAGTTGTAATTTGTAAAGCCATATTGTAATAGTATTGATGCATGTCTAATTATGATGGAAGGGCCTTAGGCCTATTTTAGGTTATGATAATATGTATGATGGAAATATGCATGAAAAAGGTGTTAGTGATTGCAACTACTTAAGAATGATTAATATGGACTCTATGTTTAATAACTATAAACTGGATTGGGTTGTAAGTGCCCCAAGGCGTTGTTGGTCCTTGTGTGTGCCACCCATTGGATTATTACTGTATTATCATGTGTTTATTAGGTACATTTGAGGTTTAAATGATCTTTTACAAATTTGGGATTATTGGAAAAACAAAGGAAACTCTGGCGAATTTTCTGTAGAATTGGCAGATTTTAGGCAAACTTCGGGAGAGAATATCTCCCTCCACAGAGGTCCCCTAGGGACGTGCCATACGCCATTTTGAAGGTTGAGATGTCCTCTACCTTGTGTCAAAATTTGAGGAAATTCTGGGTTGATCTTCGGCCTGAAATAAATAGAGAAACGCGGACTGCTCATGTGCCCCTGCACCTGAGGCAGATTCTGGACCGGATTTGGGAAATTAATTCCCGCTTCGTTTCTCAGTCAAATTGAGTGTGTGATATATCAAAATGAAGTTTGAGATGTCTAGTTTGTAGGATAAAAATTTGAGAGTACTTGGTTGAGGGGATTGAGTGCAGTAATTCGAGCAATGTGAGTGGTTTGGAGCTGTTTTTGGGGTTGTTTGGGCTAATTGCTTATCCAACTTCAAACGGCGATAACCGGAGCAAATGAGCTCCGAATTGAGCGTATGATAGCTTGTTAAAAAGGGAATTAAGTAATACAAAAATATAATCTAAGAAGAAGGGTTGGTTGCGATCTGTTTGGTCGCAGAAAAATTTAGAGTGAAACATGTTCGAATTGGTAAAAATGTAAAGTTGGAAATAGGCTAAGTGAGTTTATGGGAACTCCTTAGTAACTCATAATAAATGATGTAAGTTATAAAAATAGTTGAAATAAGTCTTCCGCAAGAGTTTACGGTTACGGTCACAGCTTTTAATTATTACGCTTTTTATGATTTAAATGCTCGCGTAATAGTCGGAAAAAATTTATTCTCATTTTTTTAAATGAACTGCTGTGATTGTAACTGCGCTTAATATCATAATTAATGTTAACAATACCGGTACGTAACGGGCTGTTACAACCGGTATCTGCGCTTTTCGTCCGAAAAGTGACTTTCAGAATTCTTAACCACTTTCTATGTTTATTTAAGCCTAATAAGAATTATTAGGATCAATTATGGAATTATTTCCTAATTTCACATAATTAATTAATTCAATTCCTTAATTAACGGTGCAGGTTCTTACATATAGCAAACTAGGTGATAATTAATATTATTTGCTCTGACAAAAATAGAACATATGACAATATCTTTAAACTAAAGAGTAAACACCTTTTTTGGTCCCTAACAAAAAACACGGTCCCCACTTTAGTCCCTTACAAAAATAAATTAGTCAGTTAGTCCCTAACAAATTCAAAGTGGACCCATTTTAGTCCTTTTGAGGGACTAATATGGGTCTTTTTTGAATTTGTGAGGGACCACGATTTCAACTAAATGGGTCCACTTTGAATTTGTTAGGGACTAACTGACTAATTTATTTTTGTAAGGGACTAAAGTGGGGACCGTGTTTTTTGTTAGGGACCAAAAATGATATTTACTCTAAACTAAATAATGAGTACATAAAACAACATTAAACACTGAAAAAATAAAAGGAAAACTAAAACCCTCAAACCAATTTTCATTTTACATCAATGAAACAATATCAATTTAAAGAAAGATTGAAACTTTCGTAACAATACATTCATGAACGAAATTCCTTCACTATAGGAAATGATTTCAAACAATTTTTGTGTCAAAAGATAACTAAAAACTTGTTTCTCAAAAACCCCAAAGCAATTTAAGGTTCAATGTATCGATTGAAAAAAATTTGAGAAATTTTCTAAACTTTCATGTAATTAAACCCAAAATTTCATATTCGAAATTTTCTTAGAATATTCAATGAAAATATGCATATGATATATGTTTAGAAAATTCCAAAAACCCCAAGGTTTTCAAGATTAATTGCAAAAAATTCCAAACAAAATTTTATCATGAACTTTAGGTTCTATATGCAAATTTAGAATTAATTTTATAATTAAAAAAATTTGGTCTTATAATCATATATGTATAGCTTTGATACCAAATGAAGAAGATAATTTTTAACCCATTAGATATGTGAAAAGCTGTTGTTTAGTAATTTTGAACGTTTGTTAAAAATCATATTATATTTTATTGATTGAGAAAATTATATTAGGTTTTATTTTTTTTTATTAATTTCATTGCATTTCTTTGTTATTTTTTATGGGGAAGATTATACTTACAACCTATTTTTGTTTATAACCTTTTACAACTATATCTTAATCGTTGATTTTCGTCAATCAGTGGTTATTATTTTCACAAATCAAACTCATTAATTAATATTTAATTTGCAATGAATGATAACCGTTGATTGACGAAAATTAATAGTTAAGATATGATTGTAAAATGTTGTAAACAAAAATAGGTTGTAACTATAACCTTTCCCTTTTATATTGACTCTTGTAATTTTGAATATTTGTTAAAAATTCGTATGGTTTTTTAGAATCTTATAAATCCACATTGTCCTTACAAATCTTATAAATTATATTATAATCTTTTAAAATCCAATCTTACGAAATCTTGATTATAAAAAAAATCTTTAAAGTGTCTCCAATTCTAAAATGTCTTTTAAAATTTGTAGGATTTTTTATATTAAAAAAGTATTTTAAAATCCTAATCCAATACACCTCCTAAAATTGAAACTCAAGATCAATAGTTAAAGGGAAAAAAATATTTGTCCTTTTAAATAACACAACTTATGTCATTTCACTCTCATAAAGAGGTGAGATCCATATTTTTTTTTGTCAACTCTCTTTCATAATTTATTTATTTCTTTCACTTAGAATAACATAGCTTTACTTCCTTTAGAATGATACACATTTTTGCATAGTTAAATTAAAACAACCTCACACCGATTAGTGCTTGATGATAAAACAAATAGTATTTAACCCGTGGACCATGATGCACATAGCTAAGAGTGTCTGTAGTAACGTTTTCAAATTTTTAGTATAAAAAATAGAAATAATTAAAAATAATATTTGATAAAACTAATTTTCGTTCCAGAAAATGAACCAATAGCAAAGAAATACCAATTAACAGAAATAAAAAAATATAGTTATATATATAAAAGAGTTATATTTACCAACATTTTATTTACAAACTCTTATAAATCATATTTTACACTATTTACTTGCGTGATTTTAAAGGTTACTTGCGTGATTGTATAGTAGGGGTGTTCGCGGTCTGGATTGGATCGATTTTGGAAGCAAAACTCATCCGATTCAATCCCTTCGGTTTGATCATGTAATCATCCATTCAGTTTAGATTTTTTTTCAAATCCGATCCGATCCAATCCAATTTTTTTCGGTTTGGATTGGATTGATTTTTGGTTTTTTGAATATCCTAAAATTAGTTTCAAGATGATTGTGCAAATAACATCTTTTGTATATATTGGCTTTGTAAAAAAAAAAAATTTGAAATACAAAAATATCAGTAAGCAATACTATAGTTGATGAGACGTTACTAAGTTTTTTTTTTGGTTTAGTTGATGAGTTAATGAGTCTTGAGTTTAGAAATTTTTGGGCTATAATTGGAGAAATGACAAATAAGTAGAGAATAATTAATAGATTGGGTCGATTTTCATCAACCTATCCGAAAACCGATCCAATCCAATTAAAATTTTCGGTTTTCTTTCTGTTTCCAATTTTTCGGTTTTCGGTTTTCTTTCTGTTTCCAATTTTTCGGTTTTCGGTTTTCTTTCTGTTTCCAATTTTTCGGTTTTCGGTTTATTCAGTTATCGATTTTTCGGTTCGATTTTCGCGGTTTGAATCGGTTTGGATCGGTTGATGAACACCCGTATTGTATAGGTCCTAACCCTTCCTTTCCTAAGCCAGAACCCGGTCTTCACTTTCCTTCTCACGCGCCTTGTGTCCTTCACAACCCTAACCGTATAACAGTACCAATGGCTCTGACTTCCTCGATAACCGTACGAAAAGCAGGCAGCGTTGTGCAATTCGAAGGGGTCGTGATTGTATAGGTCCAGTTCAGTGATCAAATCAGAACCTTAGAAATCCCCATCACGGTTCGCGTTCTTGTTGGTTAGATAGTAGCGGAGGAGAAGCTCTTCCGAGGGGTAGAACCGGCAACCGGGTGGGAGTGAAGCACGCTGAGAGTGAGAGTGAGGTTCCTCGTCTTCCATTGGGTTAGGGTTTTTTTTTTTTTTGGGATTTAGGAAACAGAGAAGAATGAGAGTGTGAGAGTGTGATTTTGTAATTGTGAGAATCGTGCTCAGCAAGCTTCTCGCACTCCCGCCGATGACTGTGAGTGAGGGACTTGGCGTGTCTTAATTGGCTGTGACAACAGCATAATACATGTTGCTAAGGTGAATTTTATTAGTTCTTTTCTTTCTTTCTTCTCATATCGGTACTCATCTTTGTTGTTGGTTTCATCAGTTCTTTTTAAGGCAATTTTTTTATTGTTTAAGTTTACTGTGTTGTCCTTTCTCCGCCAGATCCATGCGCGAGGCAATCGTTGTAGGTCTTGTGAGATGGAAATCGTTGATGATGTCTTATATCTCTTCGCCTTTTCTGTTATGCTTTGCTCTGATGTTGACGATGGCTATTATAAATCTTCATCGACTATGATTTCTTTGATTAATCAGGTAAAATTTTTCATTCAGATATATATACTGCATACGTACATTCCTTTATCTTATCTTTTAGCCCGCTGAAATTTACATATAAAAAATTGGTTTTCAAAAATTAATTCTTGAATTGAATTGCTTTTTAAAATCAATTCTTTAATTGAACTTTTTATGAAAAATTATTTCATAAAACTATTCTTTCATGACTTAAAAGTTATGGGTTCGAATCCAGTAAACAGCCTCTTTGCAATTATGTAATGGTAGGGCTGCGTACAAAGATTTCCTCCATCCCACACTCGCTAGTCGGGTTTAACGGGGAGTGGTTTTTATTTTTTATTTTTTATTTTCTTCACTATTTTGGCTCCATGAAGACATCAGATGTATATATGACAAAGTATGACTATGGACACTCATTTTTGGGTCTTACAACCAATGGTTGATTGTACAGGTTACAAGATGGAAGGAGATTGGACGGTAAAGTGGTAAATGCTGATATGCATTCAGATATTGCTATTGTGAAGATCAATTCTGAAACCCCACTACCAGAAGCAAAACTTGGTTCTTCAAGTACGCTTCGTCCTGGGGATTTGGTAATAGCCATGTCCTGTCCGCATTTCCTTCAGAATACTGTCACTTTGGGCATTGTAAGGTGTGAAGAAAAAATTTCAGACAATAATAGATGGGTCATTGTTTTAAGCTTTTTTCTTTTGTTTTAAACTTTGCCATCTCATATAATAGATTTTGGAAGCTAAAGCTATATGGTTGTTTGGCGCAGTAACTTATTATTTGACCATGAAGCTTATTAAGTTTTAAAAAGGGGCTCCTGGTTTTCTTTTTGACTAATGAAATTTATGTCTTGTATGATTTTCGCATAGTTGTGTTGACCGGAAAAGTAGTGATTTGGGTTTTAATGGCACGCCAAGAGAGTATTTACAAACAGATTGTGCAATCAATGAGGTATATTTTCCTCTCTTTCTCCCCATAAGCTCCCAATGTACCCAACTTGGTTTGCATTTGTTGTACGGACCAAATCTTCATCTGCATGTTTATTCAGTCTGCTTGCGTGTTTTTATCTGCTTCTATGGTATAGGGAAATTCTGGAGGACCTCTTGTCAACATGGACGGAGAAATTATTGGTGTGAACCTCATGAAAATGATGGCTGCTGTTGGGTTGAGTTTTTCTGTACCAATCGACTATGTGCCTAAAATTATAGAGCATTTCAAGAAAAATGGGCATGTTATTGATTTTATCCTTATTATTTTTATTCCATATGCATTAGAAAATAGGATGTAATTTGTTGTAAAATATTGTCAGCTTGTCATTTGTGTTATGTTACTTTCAGAAAAGAATGTTTTACATTCTGAGATGAAAGTTAAATGGGTTAAGTGTGTTTCAGTTTTAAAAAGAGGCTCCTGGTTTTCTTTTTGACTAATGAAATTTATGTCTTGTATGATTTTCGCACAGTTGTGTTGACCGGAAAAGTAGTGATTTGGGTTTTAATGGCACGCCAAGAGAGTATTTACAAACAGATTGTGCAATCAATGAGGTATATTTTCCTCTCTTTCTCCCCATAAGCTCCCAATGTACCCAACTTGGTTTGCATTTGTTGTACGGACCAAATCTTCATGTGCATGTTTATTCAGTCTGCTTGCGTGTTTTTATCTGCTTCTATGGTATAGGGAAATTCTGGAGGACCTCTTGTCAACATGGACGGAGAAGTTATTGGTGTGAGCCTCATGAAAATGATGGCTACTGTTGGGTTGAGTTTTTCTGTACCAATCGACTCTGTGCCTAAAATTATAGAGCATTTCAAGAAAAATGGGTATGTTATTGATTTTATCCTTATTATTTTTATTCCATATGCATTGGAAAATAGGATGTAATTTGTGGTAAAATATTGTCAGCTTGTCATTTGTGTTATGTTACATTCAGAAAAGGATGTTTTACATTCTGAGATGAAAGTTAAATGGGTTAAGTGTGTCAGTTTTAAAAAGGGGCTCCTGGTTTTCTTTTTGACTAATGAAATTTATGTCTTGTATGATTTTCGCATAGTTGTGTTGATCGGAAAAGTAGTGATTTGGGTCTTAATGGCACGCCAAGAGAGTATTTACAAATAGATTGTGCAATCAATGAGGTATATTTTCCTCTCTTTCTCCCCATAAGCTCCCAATGTACCGAACTTGGTTTGCATTTGTTGTACGGACCAAATCTTCATCTGCATGTTTATTCAGTCTGCTTGCGTGTTTTTATCTGCTTCTATGGTATAGGGAAATTCTGGAGGACCTCTTGTCAACATGGACGGAGAAGTTATTGGTGTGAGCCTCATGAAAATTATGGCTGCTGTTGGGTTGAGTTTCTCTGTACCAATTGACTCTGCCTAAAATTATAGAGCATTTCAAGAAAAATGGGTATGTTATTGATTTTATCCTTATTATTTTTATTCCATATGCATTGGAAAATAGGATGTAATTTGTTGTAAAATATTGTTAGCTTGTCATTTGTGTTATGTTACATTCAGAAAAGGATGTTTTACATTCTGAGATGAAAGTTAAATGGGTTAAGTGTGTGTCATTTTAAAGGATGTAAAGTTGTGTTATTTTAAGAGAGAGAAAGAGATAGATAAAAGAAGAGAGAGAGTTGACAAAAAAAATAAAGGTGTGGGTCCCACCTCTTTATGAGAGTGAAAGGATATAAGTTGTGTCATTTAAAATGATAAACACATTTCCCAAGTTAAATTATGCAAAATATTTTACAATTTTTTCATTTTTAATATATTATACAAATAGTCCATAAAACATTATTGATTTAAATATTTTTATGTCAAATTCATACACTAGTAGTTGAGCTCTACCAGGTTGAGGAAGTCAATAAACATTACTTAATGTTGTCCAGGAGAGTAGTGCAGCCTTGGATTGGGCTAAAGGGGCTTGATCTTAACGAGATGATTAATGCGCTGCTTCAAAAGATAGATGCTTCATTCCCTAACGTGGATAAGGGCATTCTTGTATCAATGGTATGTCCCGAATTGGTCCTTTCTATCTATCCTACTTTTTTACACACTCTACTGTGCCAGTATGAGCAAATGGCCCTTGAAATTGTATTTGTGTAATTTTTCAAAGTCTACATTCACTGGACATAATCTTTATGCTTTTTTTTGGGAGACAAATCAGTTGCAAATATGTTGGCAACAAGTAAAGGATTTTTGTTGAAATTATCTGCCTTCTTTGAGGGCAATGCATTGGCCAATAAATAATATTTCTTTTTGTTAGGATGTCAACTTTCCAAAGAGACTATTTTAGTGAAGCAGTGGTCAGTTCACGCTTTCACAAGCTTGATATATGTAGCAGGCTGCTTTCTTGAACAATGGCTCTTTGTGGATTTTGGGGATCCTGAATTAGGGATGGATGTTGTATATTTGTGAATGATAATGGATTAATAAACTAGGAAACTAGGAAATAGTAACCTAGAAAACTGAGAAACCATGAGCTATACAATGCTTAATTTGTTAATGCAGAAGTTAAAGAATGGAAAGACTACTAGAGGCCACTTCCTGCACTTTCTGATCATGTGGCAAATGTGCAATTCTCTATTTGAATTGGTTTTTCTTAATTTATGTTATTCATTGTAATTATCCTCTGCATGGAATTGTTTCTTTTCTGGAATAATATGCACTGCATTCACTAATGCAAGGCAACCATTAGAATTCTTGAAATTACACGACTTAAAAGATTTTGACTAGGCAACTCCCGGGTCCCCTAGTGATTATGCTGGGTTCCGTCCAGGCGATGTTGTCGTTGAATTTGATGGGAAACCTGTCGAAAGCATGAATGAGGTATTGTGATATTTTGTATATTATTATTTAATTTTTATTCTAATTTTGCTTTTGAAGTGAGATGATTTGGTAGAAAATACAATTGGACTATAATTTGATGTCTCTTTGGAGTCCTTGGGCTATATTTGGATTGATGAAAAGGAACGGAATGCTGGGGAATGGAGGGGAATGCAATGTGAACATGATGGAATTTGTTCCATTCCATCCAATACCTTCTTTTTCTTTCCTCCCAAGTTGAGGGGATAAGATGGAACCATTCTAATAAAGATATTGCTCCTGCCATTCCATCCACTTTCCAAACATTGGAATGGACTTTTTATTCTGTTCCATTATGAAATATCCAAACAATAGTATGATATCATTAGGTATCCAAACATATCCTTATTGAACGTGTTTTAAGCTTATTAAACGTGTTTAGTTGAAAGTTTTGTTTACTTAAACCTAGTGCTAATATTAAAAGGCAAAATTGTGAATAAAAATTTAAATGATTCCATAGGTATTTACTCTTCAAGAAAAATAAATTCAATGAAAGAATGTAATTTATATTTTGTGGGAATAACTTTGTCTTGGTATGGAGAATCTTGATTTGTTATTGAAAAGCTTTATACTTTTGCTGCAGTTGAATTTACTGTAATCTCCACGGTCTGTCAAGTGTTTCTTGAATTCATTCTTCATTGTGATGAAATATGCCTGTTTATATATTCTCACGAGATATAAAACTATGGCAGGTAATTGAAAGAATGGGGGACAAAGTTGGGGTGCCCATGAAGGTACTAGTTAAAAGAGGAAGTGATAAATTGGTGACTTTAACTGTGATCCCGGAGGAAGCCAATCTTGATGTGTAAAAGGTATACACACAAAAAGACACACATAAAAGGGGGTGTCATTTTTTCCCTTTTTCTTATCTTTGTCATAAAAGGAGTTGCTTGAGTTAATGGATGCAAAGGAGGCAGGACACTCATATGTGAGAGCAAAAAGAGGATCAAGCTGGATAAATAAAGTTGTAAGCAATTATGGGTATGATTTCTTAAGGAGAAACTCTAGAGGACCAACTTATGCTTTAAGTATACCTCATGTATCTACATTAGAGGTGGGCATGATCTATCATGTCTGAGTTTTGGCTAGTAGTTTTCTAGTTTAGTTTTGTAACTAGTGATTTCTGTGTTAGATCAACCTTATACATGTGATAAATGGTGGCATTTTGTACAGTGACCCTCCAAGTTTCCTATAAGTAAAGTGCTGCCAACCTATGTTTTTCACCTTTTATTTTGTGTCTTCTTGGTACATAAATAAACTGTCTGCAGGGATTACTTTGCCCAATATCTTTGCTCTTCTCGTCCTAGCATGAATCTGAAATGTAGATCCAGTTCAAGTTGTCAACAGACACTGTTATGACTAGTGAATCTTTTGAATGAAAAGGAGAAAACTCAATTTAAAAAAGGGTTAATATACCTGTGGCAGGACCAAGCCCTGGAAAACATTGTAACTCTATTATGCTGTTATAGGAATGGGAACCTTGTTTGTTTGCATTTGATTGATGATCTATTTCGGCCAAAAAATGATTAAAAGAAAAAGGGAATTAGTATTCCTTCAACACTATTTTTCGACATGTATGAATCCATAATTTATCAAAACAACAGTTTAAGAAATCACTTGATATGTTTTTTATGTTGTGAACACCAAGCTATCAAGCTATAATGTGTAGAAAATGTAAACGTTGGTCGAATCTAAAGTTAATTTAATGCTGGAAGATGAGTGAGTTTTTGTATGTGTAAAATATTGTTTAAATATCATCACCTCTCTCTCTCTCTCTATATATATATATATATAGAGAGAGAGAGTAAAAGAAAGGGGCAGAAGCCCAAAACACGAAACAACTAACTACTTACAGACCCCATCTCTTGAGCCAGCATCCACTCAAGATTAGCAGGGGGCACTTGATGAATAGAAAAAACCTCATCAAGATTACAATTGTAATGTGCTAAAAAATTAGCACATCTGTTCGCATCTCTTCTAACTGTATTGAACTTAATTTCCCAATTCAATTTGGACCATTCCCTCCATATGAATCCTCTCTGCATCTTTTCCACCTCCTTCCAAATAGAACTAGGGATTATGTTATACTGCATATGATAAGCAGGAATGACACTAATCACTGTTTTAGCTAATGTAGTTCTACCAGCAAAAGACAAAAGCTTACCTTTTCAACCAGCTAATTGTTGCCTAACTTTTAGGATAACATTCTCAAATTTCCTTCTCCTGCCTCTTCCATGATACAACTGGGCCCCAAGATATTTTCCAAGAGATTCAGCCTCCTTAAACCCACTAGCTTTAATGATGTCTGTCTTGGTTGCCAAAGGAGTATTTTTAGAAAAATAAATGACAGTTTTCTCAATACTCACTGCTTGACCAGACATATCACAAAATTTGTTCAGACACTATAACATTACCTTCATTTGCTCGAGGGATGCTTCTCCAAAAAATACTATGTCGTCAGCAAACATGAGATGAAAAATTAGAGGCCCATTCCTACCTGCCTTCATGGCTTTCCAGTTCACCTTCCTAGTTTTCTTTGCTATAAATGAGATAATTTGTACATAATACAAATAAATAAGGAGAGATTGGGTCTCCTTGCCTAATTCCCCTTGTAGTATAAAATCTATCCATTTTAGATCCATTCCACAAAATTTTAAAGGAAGGAGATGCTATACACTCCCTGATAACATTCCCCAGGTAGCTAGGAATTCCTGCCTCTCCTAAAACAGCTTCCACAAAGTTCCAGTTTAAACGATCATAGGCCTTAATCAGATCTATCTTGATTGACATAAAAGCTTTTTTAGCTCTCATCTTGTTCATGGCATGAGTCATTTCCTGCGCAATGATCACGTTGTGATGGATGTTCCTTCCAGGGACAAAACTGGTTTGGAAAGGAGACACCAACTTGTTCTTCACTGGCTTCAATATGTTCACTATCATCTTAGTGACTGCTTTATAGAAGGCATTGCATAACGAGATAGGCCTAAATTGCCCAATATTCTCCGGGTTCTCAATCTTTGGGATGAGCACAATGAAGGTTTCATTAATATGCCTTATCATATACGGGTTTTCAAAAATCCTTTCCACGTCTTCCGTCACTTTGTCAGCAATAACCTCCCAGTTCCTCTTATAAAATTCCGCGGGGAACCCATCTAGTCCTGGAGCTTTATGATTTTCCATCTGAGAAAAGGCATTCTTGATTTCCCTCTTTGTAATAGGGCTCTTTAGTCTCCTAACCTCGGCTTCTTCTAGCTTCAGCTAGCCAGCTGGAGATGGTTCCCACTGTCTGCTCTGATTAGTCTCTCTAAAAAGCTTCTTATAGAACTCCGAGACCAACTCCTTCAGACCAGTTTCGTTTCTCACCCATCCCCCACTCTCATTCCTCAAAGCCTTCACCTTATTCCTTCTTCTTTTCGAGATAGCAATTGTGTGGTAGTACTTGGTATTTCTGTCACCATCTCTAATCCACTCTGTTCTGGCTTTATGATACCAGAGCTTCTCTTCTAATCCCAAAGTTTCCTCCAAATCCTCTTTGAGCTCTGCCTCCTTCCTCTCCAAGAAGCAATTAGGGCCATTTTCTAGCTTTCGCTGAATGCCATCCATTCACCTAAGGATGTTATTCTTCCTCCTGAAGATATTCCCATAAGTTTCAGAGTTCCAATTTCGTAACACACGGATCAATTTTTCCAAATTCCTAATGGTATCTAACCTTTCATTCCAGTTTTCCTCAATTACCTGATTAAACTGGGGGTGGTCCATCCAAGGAGGAAACAAACAAAAAGGCCTCTCCACCCAGTCACCAGCTTCCTCTTTCATCACAATAAGCAGAGGATTATGGTCTGAGTAAATCTTAGGAAGAACTCTTACTTTAGCTTCTTCGAATTTGGATCTCCAACTAGGGTTTCCTAAAGCTCTATCCAATCTCTTGAAAATTCGGTCGAGATGGGAGAACTTGGGCCCTTTCCAAGTGAAAGCAGGGCCTGAAAACCCCAAATCAATTAGGTTGCAGTCTTCAATCACCTCCCCAAACTCCTTACACCTATTTAAATCAATAGGAGCACTTCCCCTCTTCTCTCTTGATGAAGTAATTTCATTGAAGTCTCCAGCTACCAACCAAGGCTCTTGGTTCTGGATCGCAAAACTTCTTAAATCCTCCCACAAATCATTTCTTTTCTCTTCATTTGGACTGGCATATATAGCCGTAAACATGAACTGCTCACTCTGGTTCCTCTTGATTCTCACATGAATAAGTTGTTGCCTCTTATACACCACCTCAACAGCAAAACTTGGATTATTCCAAAGGAGCCAAATTCCCCCAGAAAATCCTCTAGCTTCTTCCACACAAAAGTTGGAAAATCCCAACTTACGAATAGTGTTTAGCGCCCTTGTCCCACTCACCCTTGGCTCCAAAAGCACTATCAATTCAGTCTTGTTCTTCTTTACAAACATTGACAAAATTCCCCTGAGTTGCTTCTTAACAGTCCCTCTGCAGTTCCAAACCAGAAAATTCATAATAACAATGATGATTATTGGCAGATAATCGAAGGTCTGCCCTCTCCATTCTCCATACTTGTACTAAGAGCGCTCATCATTTCTCCACCAATTCCCATATTGGGATTATGGTTCTCAACTGCATCCATCCCCTGTTCTATGTCCTTCTCCTTTATCTCCTTCCTGGGACTGGCTTCCCCCCTTGTATGTTTGGTATAGAAATCTTCTGACTAACTCCTTTCTTACTCCTTTGTTTTAGCGTCAAGACCTCCTCCAAAGATTGTTCATCTGACATATACCTCATAACATGCATAATTTCCTTCTCTTTCTGCTATATCCTCTCTCCCCCTGCGTCCAGTGCTTCGACCTCTTCACTGTTTCCTTGCGGTGCATGCCCTTCTTTAGTCACCATTGTCCTATTATTATTACCCTTATTCTCTATGGACCTGTTCCCCAGCCCCATATCGTCTTTCTTTTCGCTTTTGGGCCTGTGGCTTAAAGGAACACTAGCCTTAGTTTTTTTATGGGCCGTTTTCATGGGCCTCGATACAACAGGAACTCTCCCAGCTGAGTGGTTTTTTTCCTTTCCTTTCTTTATAGGTAAGCCCTTATTCCTCTTATCCTCCTCACTCGTTTCTTGGACTCTTGTGTCTGTCATTGTCAAATCCATCTGAGTAGTACTGACTTCCCTAATCCTTTCTTCCAAACACGTTTCTTTCGGTTCCTCTATACTAATTCTCTACTCCTCCTTACTTTTCGCCTCCTGCAATGCCGTCAAGCCCTCTTCCTTGTCACCTCCCTTCAGACTGAAACTTATCTTGTCAGCTCCTACCATCGTTTTCCTCCCCATCCTTTTGCCGACATTTTCCTGATTGCTACTTCTTGTCTCCGGGTTCCTCGCCACCGTTTGCTCCGTTTGAGGCATCGCCTTCAATTTTCTCCCCTTTGAGCTGCGTTGAACCACCATCCAGGATCCGAAAGCTTCGTCCCTTTCTTTCTCGAATCCGTGGATTGGTTTAGCTTGTTGAACCTTCTGAATCCCTTCCCCTTGGATGCATGTTTCCATTGATCTCTTGATGGCTCCATTACAAGCCTCCTGCCTATGACTGAACCTTCCACATTTGAAACAAATGAGGTGGAGTCCTTCATAGGCCACCGGAAGAGTCTTATCAAATACCTGGAACTTAGAAATGAAACTTTTCCTCAAATCAACTTCCACACAGATCCTGGCATACTTGCCCTTTTCTGTGTATTCTCCTTATCCTCCATCTGACTTCTTTAGGGAATTCCTATCTATCTTTAAGGTTCTTCCAAACAGATTGCCAATCTTCCACAAATGATGTGTTGAATAAAACTCTAATGGGAGTCCTGGAATCCTCAACCAGACAACCAATTGTTTAAGATTCTCGTCATAAGGATCAAACATTGGTCTCCATCTCTGGACTGTTACATAGTGTTCCACTACTACCGAGGGGCCTTCGTGAAGCACATGAACATAGTCCTTCTCATTGTGAAAATTCACCAGGATGTACCCGTTTTCAAGATCAATAATTTCGAATCTTCCTTGTAAGCACCGCTGTTTCAACAATCTTGCCATCAAATATCTGTTACTGATTTTCCTTCCTAGCAGCTTAATGATTAGAGCGCTTTTCCATTTTTTACAGTCCTCTTTATGTTGTATCGGAGACACTCTGTACACTGGGCATAACAGATTTGCTTGTTCCCCCGTCTCTTCTTCCATTAGGATCCCATCTTCCTCCTCTTCCCTTCTTTGGGTGACCTTCCAGTCTTCATCATCACTTCCTAGCTCTCCGTCATTCCATTCAGCTGGAGCACAATGTCCTTATA